TGTTTGTGTTGTTCATCTCCATCTTATCTTAAAACACAGACTATCATGGAGTATTTGTTTGCTCTTCTGGCATGATATTAGCAAATTATGAGTTTGTGTCTTTGTGCAGATGTCCATAGTCACCTTGTATGTCTTGACTAGACTGACTTGGGAATGTAATATGGTTCAGAAAGCTAAATCATGTGTAAGTGATATAGTGTATTCAATTTCCCTATTCATGCAAGCTTTACACATTTTACACAAAAACACACACAGACACACACAACCCCACATCTCTCCCCATTTACTAAGGACAACGTTAGAAAAACACAATTATGGGGAAAAATTTGAGTTAAAAGTAATATACACGTTTAAAATAAAGTGTGAATGTGTTCAACAGATTTGTAGTTGTAAGAATATTTTGAACAGACAAAAGTAGTAAGTCAGTGAGCACAAGCCTGTTCTGAAGTAGTGTGCATGTGTGCAAAGTTGAACTTTCATGTGTCTGAATTAGGATGCACTTTAGCCATGCTACGAGCCATTTGTCCAGCAGAGCAGGACTGCATCAGGTTGGCTGGTCCATCACTTTGGCACAGACTGATATGTCTCAACAACTATTTGAGGGATTGGAGTGGAATTTGGTACGGATGTTTAATGTCCATAGAGGCTGATTTCCAATGATATAAGTGATCAAACAACAATTTCTCTCAATCAGTGGGTCAATGTTCTTAGTTACCCTTTAATATACCGCTTGCATGTTCTTGGTATGAAAAGTTTAGTCAAGTTTCCCAGACAGGGATAACTTGGGAGATCCCTTGACCTCTACTCTTGTGTCTCATCATGTCAACCATTTAAGTTGTATTGAAATATCTGTAAAACTTAGCATGGACCATGTCACTAAATATAGTTTTTAAATTATTTATTAAAATATATTTTTTATGATCAAATATCAACTGTGAGTGTACACGTTCACGTCATGTCAGCATTAAGTTTAAATCATTGCTGTGCCTTGTTGACAGGATTAAGTCAATCTTCCTTCTGTACTTAATCAAAACAACACATTTATACAGTCCTATTATATGAAAAAGTAGTTGCTGTGTGTGAATCATACTGGCATGATAGGGTCTGTGGAGGTACCTCATCTTATTGGTTAATATTCACTGATGCCAAAAAGTAATAAAACAAACAGACAGGATGAGTCACAGCTCTGCTGCTCTGTCTTATTAGGAGGATCCTGCTTTGAATCAATATCTCTCACTTGAGTTGGATTCATGTTGGTCAAAGCAGTCGAACACACTGAAGTCAAAATTCATGTCAATGAATGTAGAAACAACACCAAAAATGAGGTGCTTTAAAGTTGTAATACAAAGGTCCAAACTAAGGTGGCTGAGACTTAACTTTAAAGACACAGCTGTACCTTCCTTAATAAAAAATGTTTTAGTGCATTCTCTGTAAGGCAAGTTAAAGACCAATTGACAATCAAAAATAATTGATTAAATACCTTCCTTAACAAAAAGATATAATTGGACAAATCATGCAGGAATGAGATCTACAGCCAACAGGAGGCACAAAAGAAACTCAACCTATATCCTCAGCAGGACCATTGTGATGTTGTAAACTGAGCAAACACATGCTAATTTAACCAATAATACTTTTTTAAATATATTGAAAAAGAATACCCTTAGATCTGCAAAGTTCAGACATCCTACACTGGAGCTTATGGTTTACTGAGTGTTTCATATCCCTGCAACCATGCTTCAGAATCAGAAATACTTTATTAATCCCAGAGGGAAATTCAATCGTTACAGTTGCTCCAAAATATACAATATAGCAGTAGAAATATAATGATAAAAATATCAATCAAATAGAATAGGAATGTAAGTAAGATATCAATAATAGGTACAAGAAATATTTACATGAAAAAGAGTAAGATGGAATATATACACACACATTTTCAAGGTTATGTCACTGTTTGTTTCAATATTGCACTTTGTTATCATGTACATATTATTCACTATGCATTATGCATGCTACTGAGTAACTTTTTTTGTTGCAGTAAAGCAGACAATTGTGTCTTTTTAACAAGGCTGCGGCGTGATCTTTTCTCTTTCATGAGCTTTCAAACCTGGCCTTGCACTGATGCGTCTTTATGGAGATTCTATACTGTAAATCCTTAACATTAGATCTGGTACTGATATCTTCTTGAGATCTATCCAAGTTGGAAACTGTAGGTACTTGTCTCAGTTGCTTACAGTTAATGTGCAATAATATGACATACAAATTAAAACAACACAACTTGTATTGCAGATTTTTTTTTCAAAATGATGCTGCAGAATCAGACGCTTTAAATCACAATCTGCAATGATCTCTGAAAAAAGCTGGTGAAAAAGCACCTCTCTTTCCGTCCAATCAAATAAGACAAAAAGCCCCAAAATAATCTTTAAAAAAAATAGAAAGTTAAATGATCACACCTTCCTGATTTGATGACTTCTTTGACTTTTGTAGAAATGTCAGATGCTAATATCTCGCTGATTCACATTGGCCAGACAAAACACCCCATGGATTCAGCACTGTCTACACAAGGAGCCATTTGTTGACCAATTTGCGTCAAGACCTGAATTTCCTCACACTCTTTCCCTAACCTTTGCACAATCCCACCCTAGAGACACACAACCTTAAACAGTGTGAACGCCATAGTCCACAGAAACACTTTCCCTTGTATGTTCACACAAGCAAATGTATTTCTTTTCCAACAGAATAACAACAGACTTAATATCAATGCAGAGTCAAGGGCCTTAGATAATTGCTGTAAATGTAAGCCTCGCATCTTCCTTTTCTTCTCTGGTGAGTTCCAAAAGATCAACCTGGATTAATCAAGCCCCAACATTTATTTTTGTAATTAACTCTTGTTTGAAGCACGCAGCCTTAAAGACCCCCAGGCATTTTCATGTAATATGAACAGAATCAGACTGAAGAGGATCATTGTTAAAGATTCATGAATGTTTTGTTTCAGTAAAACTCGAACAGTTCCATAAATGTACTAATTCTTGCCTATTACAATGAGACTTAGATGGCTTCTCTGAATTAGCAATCATTTCTGATTATTCCTTGTTGGCCTAATTGACCACTCATCAGCACACAGGAGGCTTTGCTGATGCCAATTAACAGAAGATAAGTGACGCAAAAAAAAAGAAAAAAGAAGAGCACTAGGCAGAAGTTATTAGTGATTCTGTTAAATTCAAACAGTGTATGCTACACAGTGCTGTTGCTACTTTCTGCTAGTTCATCATACCATTAACCATCGCGTAGCCTACTGATCTTAAGATTTGTATTTTGGATAACTTACATTTTGGTCACAGCACTCAGAATGGGTGAACATGACTTTGAAATGAATGAAAAGTGTTTGGAGTTTAAGCTCTTGACATTTCAGAAATGTCGCTAATGTTTCATAACTAGTTCAAAAATAAGGTGTCTCAAAGGAATAGTTTGACATTTTGGGAATCATACTTATTTGCTGCGGCTTCAGGGATCTCGATGCTTTGATTTGATTGCAAAGATTAATAACTGATAAAGTAAATTGAATACGAAGGATGAGTTAGCATGCGACTAGCTGAGCTTAGCTCTGCTACAAACAATTAGCCTGGCTTTGTCGTTGACGTCTTTGTGTGGTTGCCAAGTAACCAGCGGCGTGTTCCAGAAGTCCCTGCACAACACAAAGAGATGGTCCCTACACATAACTATGCCAAAAGAATAAAAACTGGTTGTTTAAACATTTCTTCTAATAACCTGTTGAAATACATTTTGACAGCTAGCAAAGAGGTAATTTGTTCTTTGCTCTCCAAACCAAAGTATGCTTTCTAATTGAATGTCATAAGATAACTTGTGTTGTGAATTATAGCTGTACAAAAACAAAGAATTCATAAATAAGAATATGGGCCGTGGACTGTTTGCAATATTTCATCCATTTCACAACCCGCTACACTTCCTTGTTACCCACACATTACCTTGAAGCTCAAGGTAAAACCACAGAAGTACATTCAGCATATTGCTGTCAAAGATGCTGCTGAAAATATATTTAAAAAGTCATGCGGCAGGGGCGCTGGTGGCACAGTGGTTAGTGCGCGCTCCCCATGTATGGAGGCTATAGTCTTCCAAGCGGGCGGCTCAGGTTCGAATCCAGCCTGTGGCTCATTCCCCGCATGTCATTCCCCATTCTCTCTCCCCGATTTCCGACTCTATCCACTGTCCTATCTCTCCATTAAAGCCCCCCCCAAAAAAAGTCATATGGGTGCAAAAGAGTTGCTGTCGTCTCTTTTGCTGTGAATCTGTCACACTTTGAATATGAGACTATCAGTGATCTCATCCTGGCTCACAGTCACTGCAGTGTTTGGATACTGCCCTCTCTCCTTTTTTCTCTCACACACTACCCAGCACACAGCAGCATTGTGCGCACTGACAGTCTGCGAGCACTGATAGGCAGCATGTGGTTTCTCTCCAACACTAATCAGCCCCACACGTGGTGGTACAGCAATACCCACAATATGTCTCATGTAGGAAGTACGATGGCAGTGCCAAACTCTAGGACTTCCTGCTCCTCTTGGCTATCGGGTGGTACAGACACACACTTCCCCAAAGCAACAATGACTCAACAGCTTAGTAATCAACCCCAAAGACCCACACTTTGCTCTGGTTTTACACCAGCAGCATCAAAACAAAACAAATGAACTCTGAAGGGTGCACAGGGAGAAGAGTCCTGCATCCCTTTTTCTGGAGCACCCATTGTGATCCATGCTGGTCACAAAACACATCACTGGACCACACCCAGGATGTCATGACTCATCAGTGCCCCTGTGCCGTCCATCCAGGCCAACAGAAAGAAAATAACGGCAAGAGCAGAGAGAGAGAGAGAAAACGGGAGGGTACATCTCAATGAGGAGGATAAAAGGAAAGAGGAAGAGGAGACACACACTGACAGACAAAGAGAGTAACCGACAGATAAGTGCATCGTGGGTGGGACTCACCAGCTCGACCGAGCCATAGTGTTTCCTGCTGAAGTCTCCACGCCTGCAGCCCAAGTCCTCCGAGGCAGAGCTGCAACACAAATGCATGGTCATACACATGGCCTCCATCACATAACACAGACATGCATGGACTGTGACATCTCTAACACAACTGGCATTGCAGCATCTGCTTTACTTCTCGTCTAATTTGATCTCACTTTGTCGTCTTCTTCTTCTTCATGCCATTTAATCCTACTCTACACTATTTCTTTCTCTGTACTCTTCTATTTTTCCTTTCTCCTGTCTGAGTCCGCCAAGGTGGCGGCGTCTGCCAATGGTATGGTGACTGGCCAGAAGCGGCGGCCAACCCAGTTCTGATTAAGACAGCCCGGGTCCTGATTGAATTACACTCAAGTGATAGATGGAGACTGGCTGTGAGAGCTGACTGCTGGACTAATATGCCAAGGCATACACACACACAGACACAGACAATTCAATGACCAATTCATAAAAAGAAATGCACATACATGCTATAAACTGTTCTCTTTGACTTTGACTGTGGTCAGTCAAATTGAGGAACAGTTTTATTTTCAAGTCTTGATCATGAGGATCTAAAAACCACCCAAACTGGGACATACTGTATTTGATTCAAATACTAGGATTTATTTTCTCCATCTTTAGATAAAATTGATAACTGGTGATTAACTCACTTCAACTATCCAACAAATAACATCAATCAACAAGTTAACTTTAGATTGGTTTCAGAAGGTCTTACTTAAAGCTAACTTGAGCCGGACTGACCAATTCCCTCCTCCAAGACTCTTGGTTAGTCAAGCTGGCAAGTGTAGCTTCATATTTCATGAGCAAACGAGTATCAGTCTTCTTAAATAACTGACTGCACATATCCCTTTGAAGCATACTTTGTAAATGCAATGATATACCTGAACCTTAACAATTTCACCAAACAACTGCAAACACATGCTGTCTCTACTTTTTTTATTTTAGCTCAGTCCTGTCAATCAAACGTAATGTCAATAAAGTATTTACAATCCTTACAATTTTGACAGTGATTTTCTACCATGTCATCATGGTGTGGCTCTAGGGTTGGCTCCTGAATGGTCTTTCATAAGCTGTATTGCATGGATGGCCAAGACATTTTGTACAAACATTCATCATTTATGTATAAATGTTTTGCAAGTGCACATGTAAGCGTTCCACTTTGAGTAGTGAGCTCAAAGCTCTGCAGCATGAGCACAGCCTCACTGCTAGCTTGGCTAATGACGGTAAAATATCCACTAAGAAGCAGAAATCATTTAAACCTTTAACAAAAAAAACTTGTTTCAGCATCGCAGTCTCCTCACAAACCTAGAGAAATAACTTCTAGACTATGTATTACCCACGGCAAAAGGCTATATTCTAGCATGCTAAAGCAAAGACAGATTCTCCTTAAGCGCAATATTTAATACACTAAGAAGACACATACGAGCGTTTTACTTTGGAAGGAGCCAATCGGTGTTAAAATTCACAGAATACTTTTTGCTACTACCCCCCTAAACACTTTTATGCCCAAAATTTGTATTGCTCCAAGAGTCTTTAAAATACCCAACAAGGTTTAAACAGTGTGTGGATGGGTGTGTGCACTCATGGTGGTGTACATATTAGGAAGCTTGTACTGTAGCTGCATGAATGCCACAGTTATGACATGACCTGCATGCTTTTTAGATCCCCCACTCCTCATATATCCCCCCTTAACTCTTCTTCTCTGGTCGGGTCTCTCTCTCTCTCTCTCTCTGCGTAGGAGATGAAGGCAGAGAGGGGTTATTAATACATAATGTACACTCAAGCTTAAAGGACGCATTTTAAAGTGTCTGCACTACAGGATGTATCCATCACTGTGTCTTTACCCCACTCTCCCTCTGCAGGCTTGCCTTCTCTACATAGGAGTGACCGGGGTGGGGTCTGAAGGAGCATCTAAACATGTACTCCATCACTGCTTTACCTTACGCTTTTTCTTTGGAGCACTAAGGAATGCTATCTTTCCAAGCCTTCGCCTTTTCTCGGAGAGGGTGTCATGGAAAGGATTGCACCTCCAAGTTGGATGATTAAGTGATACGACCCAGCCCACCTAATGTAATGAAATCCACACCAGTCCTCCTAGTGAAACTCATCTTCTTCTTTTGAGTCTAGGCTTCTTGTGATGTTTAAATGGAACATATGGATGGACAATTTATGCAAGGACTGAACCAAAATGCAATCTCTTTTCCTTTTTTTTTTTGGCTGGAGTTAAAACACACATAACGCAGCCGCCTGCAGCACTTTATATACACAGCAACGACTACAACACTTAAATGTATACACCCAAAGGAAAAGTGCTGTTGCAACATTTAAGATCCTTCTTCCTTTGTATACTACAGAAAATGCTTTTGGTTAAATTTGAGCTTTTAGGCTTTCAAGTTGAGGCATGTTTTAACACATGTGGGAGGTGTACACTGTGGTGAAGTAAGAAACGCTGTTGTGTGTATAAAAGAGGTGGAATGAGGCAAGAAAGTGAAGTGCTTCACGTCTGATGAGAGACATGTACCTGTCAACGGGGGTTGGACACTGTGAAAATGACATATTCCAATTTCAAGAACAGTATGTACAAGAATTTCCAATGAGAAACCAAATAACAAAAAGGGATCGTGTGCATTGTGCATAGTAAGACACTATTAAAAATGATAAAACAAGAGTTCAAAATGATCCTAATCATGTATTTTTTCAGAATCTCAAGCCGTTATTGTTAATGTTCGTACTGGATTTAATCCAAGATTTATTTATTTATTTATATTAAGATTATTTGGATGTTTATTTCCAAAAAATAAACACACTTATTTATTTTTTTAAGCCATGCTAGCTGTTTGTGAGTTTATTTATTTAATGTTGTGTCCTCATTTAGATCCAGATTAAAGGTCCTCAGAAATGCCTTGATGTATCGCTATCAAGTTTGATGTCAAATAAATGGTAAAGGCTTTGAATCCCAGGATTCCCTGCTAGCCTCGATGTCATCTTTTGTTATTGCAGTATTGATTGAGAGCCCCTTGGCGGCGGAATCTACATATTAAATGACTAGACATTCTTATTAAAACATGACACATAGTTTTTAAAGCCTGTGGTTTTCAATGTCAGAAGCTTCAGTGTTTAGCCAGCTCTGCATCGGTCTTGAAACCTTTCTGCGTTCTAAAATCTCTCCATTTTAAAAAAAGTGCATCCAATATTTATCCTAGTTTTACCACGTTTCTGGTCATGGAGCATCCAAACGGTTGTGTGGGGGTGACTTTCAAATACAAACTTAGCAGGAGGACATACTGGCTGCTGCTTTGTTGGTAGAGAGGCCAGCAATTCAATATAGCATGTTTCCTTAATGTCTGATGATAAGGTCAATGTATCAATTAATTCAGCAAATTTCTTCATATTCACCAAAATTTTCCATATTGGTCATTTTAGCTTTTGCCATCATAGGATTAGACTTTTGATTTGTATACTACTTGGTGTACAACTACTTGATGGATTACACATAATTACTTGCGACACCCAATGACATTCCTATCAGTTTAAGATTTATGTTCTGATTTAAGTCGAAATCATTAGCAGTGTTTATTGTAAGCATGCTAATGGTTGCATTTAGCTTAGTACAAGCTCACAGAACTGCTATAGACTCTTTGATAACAAAGGACGTATTGATTATAGGACTGTCCTGTAACCTTGCATGCTGCCTTACACACTAAGAGGTATGACACAGATGAAACCTTCAACAGCTGTCCGAATGTTTGGCCACCATCACTTGAACTCTGCACCACAACAGCTCAGATTCCCAGCAGCACGGTGGCTGTTAGCCAAAGAAAAATGACTTTGAAAGCTTGGACCAAAGAGGAATTGCTCTGACACAGAAAGAGGTAAAATGGATATTCATTACTCAAACTGCTGCCCTCAGTAATGGAGTACGGGAAAGGTTACAAATTGCGGTTTCTGTCACAAGACAATGGACAGTGGCCACTGAAAGGCTCCGCACAATACAGTAAAATGTGAGGTATAAATCACTCTGCCAACTGTCATACCAAACCTCCCAGTGTTGCTCAAGACAAAATCCAATCCTGTTATCCCTTATATCAAACGTTGTACGTCTCTGCAGACTCCTCCATCACTCCATAAAGTTACTCCTTCTTGAAATGCCAAATATACAGAGAGCTTGTTGCTAAAAGGTGTAGCAGTAAACATCAGACCGTAAAGACGGACAATGTAATTAATCAAAATTCCCATACAGTGGTAATAGAATTCTCAATTTGATTGGCTTTTAAACATCATACATCAACGTCAAACACACCCAACCACAGAGAAAATGTAAACTTCTATTGATTGTTGGCTGCAGCAAGTTCTTAGTAAAAACCGCCTACAGTGTACCGAGTCTTTCTACTGTATGTGTAGTCCAGGTTCAGTTTAGGAACTACAGGAAAACAATTTTGGTGATTAATACCACATCATTTTCAGATTTCATTTCAACTGAGAACTATTGAATAACAAAGTTAAGATGATGCCTGGTGCACAATGTGAAAAGTGCAGAAAAATACTCGCCCGTAAACACTTTACTAACAGAGCCATTGGATTTCTGTAAAAAATATCACTTTCTGCTACATTTATGTATAAAAATTAGACAAGCGAAGCTGTGATCATTGTGAAAATGAGCTGGACAAATATGCTGGGAGAAAAAAAAGAAGAAAAAAATGTAATTCATGCTATAACAAGCCATTACTGCAATATGACAAGTCACTAGAGCGTTTAATGAACATTCAGGACATCTTTGGCTCCTCTTGCCTCCCTCTCTGCACAATTGGTGCAGCATGGTTAAGAAGCCTCTCGGTTATTGGCAGCAATGTGCCTGAAGAGCTGTATGTTCCCTATATGATCTCTCTCTCTCTCGTTATATTAAGAGTCACTGCAGCTTCATTTGTGTTGCCATTGGCGGCATTTTCAGATCCATAGGAGGCTTAAAATGAGCTGCTGCACAGTTACCTTGGACTGCTTCTTCAACTCAGCTGCACACTTTAAGCCGGATGC